AGTGAGGATTTTTTTAAGGCCTTTTATCTCCCTTGAAATATAAAACAATTAAAACCTTATCATGGACAACTTTTATTCCTTAGCTCCCAATCTCCAAAGGCTTCTTATCCCTCTTATTTTTCCCTGTTAATTGCTTCCCTTCCGAAGGGAACAGAGGCCAAGGGCTGGAGGAGGGACCTGGAGCAGGAGATGTTAGTCCTTGATCCTCACCCATGGGGCTAAAAATAGAGGGAAACAGCACTTTTCCAGGGTTGGGGTTTTTTTTTATTCAGGGGACACCTGGAGCTGGTCACATCCTGCCACCCTCATTTCAGGAGGGGTTGGGGTCCTGAGGGATTGGTGCTGTGGATTGGGATCTGGATTGAGACATGGAAAGGTGTGGTGGGACCTTCCCTTGGGATCCTGAGGATCTTTGCCTTTGGAATCCTGAGGGACCATCACCCTTGGGATCTTGAGGATTTTTGCCCTTGCAATTCTGAGGGACCTTCACCCTCGGAATCCTGAGGGACCATCACTCTTGGGATCCTGAGGATTTTTGCCCTTGGAATCCTGAGGGACCTTCACCCTTGGAATCCTGAGGGATTTAAGGTACTAGGGATTAAGTCCTGGGGATGCAGGATTATGTCCTGGAGGTGCAGGATTAGGCCCTGAGGGTGCAGAAGGCACTGGAATTTGGGAACACACTGCAGCCTTGGGGTACACAGACAGCACAGAGAGATTCCAGGAATTCCCTGTGGCTGGTGCAGTCATGAATCCCAAATCAACTCCCAGATATCTCCCAACACCTGGAAAACACCACTGTGTCCCTTATTTCCTGCTTCACCCTTTCCTCCTTGAATTATTCCCTGGAATTAGCTGAGCTCTGTTATCCTTCCCACATGCAGCATATTCCCTCCCTCCCCCTCTGTTAATGGATAATCCCTGGACAAGGAGTTTTTTTGGGAGGATTCCATGACCTTTGCTCAGCCCTTGGACCTGGAGCTGTTTGCTGGGAAGCCCTGGGAGAGGTCTGACCCCAATCCAAAGGCCTCCTTGGCTCCAAGGAATGTCAGGAGGTTATCCATTAACACCAGCAGCATTTCAGGGTGCGCAGAAGATCATGGAGCTTGGAAGGGACATGTGAAACCCCATGGAAAAGCTGCTGGAAGGTTCTTCCTGGCTGGATTCAATGATCCTGGTTGGACTTGATGATCTCCAAGGTGTTTTCCAGCCTAAATGATTCCATGGTTGAAGGCTCCTGGAGAACAAAGGACCCCAGGAGCATTCACAGAATCCCAGGATGGGACAGGCTGGGAGGGATCACAGTGGGACATCTGGTCCTATCTTCTGGGTCATTCCAGGGCACATGGATTGCATCCAGATGGCTCTGGGATGTCTCCAGTGAGGAGAATCCATGACCTCTCTGGGAAACCTGTTCCAGTGCTTGGTCACTGCACAGGAAGGAAGTTTTTCCTCAACTCCAGGTGGAACTTCCTGAGCAGTTCCTGCCCATTGCCTCTTGTCCCATTGGTTCCCACCACTGAGAAGATCCTGCTCCATCCTCTTGGCACCTCCTTCAGACGCTTAGAGACACTGATGATGTCATGGAGTCATCAAGGTTGGAAAAGACCTCGAAGCTCATCAAGTCCAACCCTAAACCAGCAGCACCACCATGTTCATCACTGAGCCATGTCCTCAGGTGCCACATCCACACATTGCTGGAATACTTCCAGGGATGGTGACTCCACCATGTCCCTGGGCAGCTGTTCCAGCGCTTAACCACCCTTGCCATGAAGTTCCAGGAGCTCCATGTCCCTCTGGTCCTGAGGAGCCCAGAGCCGGACCTGCTCCAGGAGCTCCATGTCCCTGTTGTCCTGATGATCCCAGAGCTGGACACAGACTCCAGACCTGCTCCAGGATCTCCATGTCCCTTTGTTCCCAGTGATCCCAGAGCTGGACACAGACTCTGGATCTACTCCAGATGTCCCTGTGAAGGGCAGTAAAGCGCTTCTCCCTGTGTTGGATCACCAGGAACCTGCTGAGAAGGCATCAACCCCCTCATCCATGTCACTGATGGACTAGTGGAGCCATTCTGGACCCAGCATGGAAGCTTGGAGGACACTCCTGGGAGACACCTGCAACCAGAACCCTCTGAGATGTGTCTCTCAGCCACTTCCCAATCTACCTCATTGTTCACTCATCCAACCCACACCACTTGGTTTCCATCCCACAGGAGCAGCTGCTCCTGGAGGTGCTTCCCTGCCCTTTCCAGTCTTGGAGCTTTGCTCCTGGAGGTCACCTTGCTGAAGTTATCTGGCTTGGAATATCCTTCTCATCCCTCTTTAATGAGGGTTTGCTTATCTCCAAAGCACAGCCCTGAGCTCCTCACAGCTCCTCCTTGGCTCTCCTTCACATCCTGCCCACATCCCACCCAGATCCTGGAATGGCACAGGGAATTTAGGATGCAAATTGTGGGGCAAACTCCTCCTGGAGAGCCAAGATCCCATTGGGATCAACCAGGATGTGGCATCACTCCTGCCTCAAACTCACCATGGATCTCCCCAAGCCTTATCCCTCCTTCTCCCAGTTTTCCCACTGCGGGATCAAGAGATTTGCTCCAGAGTAAGGAAACCCCAAAAAGAAAGGAGCTTCTCCCTCAAAGCCTTGGAATTTGCAGCATCCTTGTGGGATGGGACACCCCAGGTCCCCACCGGGATCCTGGGATCGCACAGGGAATTTGGGATGCAAACTGTGGAGCAAACTCCTCCTGGAGATCCCCATTGGGATTAACCAGGATGTTGCATCACTCCTGCCTCGAGCTCTCTATGGATCCCTTCAAGCCTTTTCCCTATCCCTATCCCTCCTTCTCCCAGTTTTCCCACTGCAGGATCAGGGGATCAGCTCCAGGAGCCCCAAAAGGAAAGGAGCTTCTCCCTCAAACCCTTGGAATTCGAAGAATTCCTGTGGGATGGGAGACCCCAGGTCCAAATCCATGCCTGGATCCTACTCTGCCAGCCGGGAAGGGAAGGCTCAGCCCCTCTCCTCCCCCCTGGAATCAGGTAAATCTCGAGGGAAAAGGTGTTACTCATTATCCTTCCAGTTTGCGGAGGAGCTCCTTGTTGACCCACTGGTCGGGAAAGAGCTTTTCCAGCCTTGGATCTGCCGGGATCATCCCTTATCCCTGCAAGCAGTCCCAAGAGCATCCGGAATGGTAAGGAAAAGCCAACGGAGCCAAAAAAAGAGAGGGATTTTCTTGGGTTTTTTTGGGTTGGAATGGAGGTCGCACATGCTGTGGGATGCGGTTTTATCACCCACGTGGATATGGATTTAATATCCAACAGCAGAAATGTCTTGGGAAAGGGAGAGGGAAGGAAAGCCAAGAGATTCCCTGGATAAATCAGTCTGATTCAGGAATATTCCCTAATCCACGGGTTTCCAGTTCCCTCCATGTCCTTATTTTGGGGTGGTTTATCCTCATTTTCCTGTCTCTCTCTCCTCATTTGGCTCACGGAGCAGCTCCAGGTTTTCCCTTGGATCTGGGATGCAGCAGGGAAGATCCATCCCTACCTCCCCCTCACCCTCAGGGCTCTCTGGGATGTTTGGAATTGCTTCCTGATGGCTCTGGCTCCAGGGAGTGGCACCTCCCTGAGAAGTGCGATGGTCCCTGCCCTATCCTGGGGGGGTTGGGATGGTGGGAAGAGGATGGAAGGGGGAAGGGATGCTGGAGACACCCATGGGAATTCCCTGGAGGAAGCCTCACCAGCTTTGGGATCTTTGGATGGGAGATGGATCCATCAGAGGTGGAGGAAGGTGGGAAGGGGCAATGTGGAGGATCTGCTGATGAAGGGAATGGGATGAAGGAGAAGGAAGGAGCTGGAAAGGGATGAATCATCCCTTGGAGCCAAGGTGGGACACTATGGAATTTGGTGGGACATTGGGTTTGGACCTGCCTGAAGCAGAGCAGGATGGATTTGAACCTGGAGTCTACCATCCCACAGGGATGCTGCAAATTCCAAAGGGTTTAGAGGAGAAGCTCCTTTCCTTTTGTGCTTCTTGCAGCAGATCCTGCAGTGGAAAAACTGGGAGAAGGAGGGATAGGGATAGGGAAAAGGCTTGGAGGGATCCATGGTGGGCTCGAGGCAGGAGTGATGCCACACCCTGACTGATCCCCATGGAATCTTGGCTCTCCAGGAGGAGTTTGCCCCACAGGTTGCATCCCAAATCCCCTGTGCCAGTCCAGGATCCAGGTGGGATATAGGGATGATGTGAAGGAGAGCTGAGGAGGAGCTCTGAGGAACCTGGAACATTTGTGTCCATAACTAATCCCTTTGGAATTCCAGTGGTCTTGGCAGGACAAGGATGTTTGGAAAAGGAAGGGAAACACTTCCTTGTCCTTGAGCTCTTGGATTTGCTGCAGGTTCATGGCCAAGGAGGAGTCAAGTTCCAGAACTGGGCCAAGACCTATGGATCCTCTCCAGAGCTCTACTTCCAGCCCAGCTCAGTGGAGGAGATCCGGGAGGTAAGGAAGCTGCTTCCAGGAGACAATTCTTTAGGAAGGAAGAAGAGGAAAGGCCAGGAAGGGCCATGATGCTCCATGAGATCAGAGAGGTCTTGTTAGCCCATGATCCCCAGCAGATGCATCCAACACCTCTTTGGGGGTCATGGAATGGTTTGGGTTGGAAAGAACCTCCAAAGGTCCTTAATTGCAACTCCCAAGGATGATCCCAAGGAGATACTTGAGATCCAGGAAGAGTTTTAACCCCAGGTGATGAGTTCTTCAAGTCAATGGATGACAGCCATGGGTGGATTTCACCTTGGGATGTCTCTGGCATTGACCTTAGCTCCATGTGGGAGATGTTCTTCAGCAGATGCATCCAACACCTTCACAGAACCTTGAAAGGTCTTAATTCCAACCCCCAAGGATGATCCCAAGGAGATCCCAAGGAAATACTTGGGATCCAGGAGGAGTTTTATCCCCAAGTCAATGGATGTCAGCCATGGTTGGATTTCATCTTGGGATGCCTCTGGCATTGACCTTAGCTCCATGTGGGATGATGTTGGATGATGTCTCCACAGATCCTGGACATGGCCAAGCAGAGGGGAAAGAGGGTGAAGGTGGTGGGAGGAGGTCATTCTCCCTCAGACATTGCCTGCACGGATGACTTCATGATCCACATGGGGAAGATGAACAGGATCCTCAAGGTGAGACCAGGAGATTCCATGTGCATGCTCCTGAAGATGGTTAGAAATGCCAAGAAGGACATATTTTCCAGGGAATATCTTCTTCTTTGCATGGACCAACCCCTGGGAGAAGTTCTGGGATGGGTTACACACCCTGAGAGTGAGGAGAGAGGTGGGAGATGGGTCTGGACCAGGAGCAGAACATCCCCATCACTGGTGGGAGGAGGTTTGGGTTGGTGAAGGTCTGAGGTGATGGGACAATTCCCTCATGGCATTGACGCCATCAGTGGTGTTGGGAAGAGCAGAGATGTTGTCCATGGGATGTGATCTTCCCCTCTCCCACTCCCATCCCCAGGTGGACAAGGAGAAGCTGCAGGTGACAGTGGAAGGTGGGATTTTCCTCTCAGATCTCAACGTGGAGCTGGACAAACATGGCCTAGCCTTGGCCAAGTGAGTGGGACACATATGGTCATTCCTAGGGAATCCACCCAGGTGTCCATCCTTATCCCAACTGCTGGGACATGGCCAAGGAGGGAAGTCTGAAGAGTGTCACCTCCAATCCTGGGGGCAGGTTTGGGTTCCTTGGGACAAGAAGGACATTGAGGGGTTGGAAAGTGTCCAGGGATGGGGGTGGAGATGGGGAAGGGGCTGGAGAAGTCTTGAGGGAGCTGTGGCAGCTCAAGCTGGAGAAAAGGAGGCTCAGGGAGGACCTTGTGCTCTCTCCAAATCCCTGAAGGTTGGACCCAGGTGGGGGTTGGGAACAAGGGATAGGATGAGGAAAGACCTCAGGGTGCAGCTGGGGAGGTCCAGGTTGGACATCAGGAGGAATTTCTCCATGGAAAGCACTGTCAGGCATTGGAACTGTCCAGAGCAGTGCTGGAGTCACCATCCCTGGCAGGATTTTACATCCATGTGGATGTGGCTCTTGGGGACATGGGCAGTGCTGGCCTTGGCAGTGCTGGCCTTGATCTCCAAGGGCTTTTCCAATTCAAATGACTCTGTGATTCCATGGGGAAGAAGGAACCCACCAAGGGTTTCATCCCCTCCTTTGCTTAATCTTCCCTATGTTCCTACCATGGTCCTGGTGGCCACCACAACATGACAAAGAACTTCTCTCCATGGAGGATGGCAGAGCACTGGGACAGTGCGTGGGGAGGTCATGGGGTCTCCATTTCTGGAGACATCCAAATGCCACCTGGACACATCCCTGGTGTCACCTGCTCTAGGTGACCCTGCCTGGGACTAGATGATCTCCAGAGGTTTCTTCCAACCCTGTTATGGGATTCCGTGGTGGGAGGGATGGACCTTGCTCTGTGGACCATATCCCTGTGGATGTTTTCTCCAGCCCTGCCCCATAGAGATGGTTCTGGGATCATCCCAATGTTCTGAATCCATATGGGAAGGATATCTCCACACCACCAAGCCCCTCCAGGCTGGTGGAGAGACTTGTGACCTGAGAGTCCTCATGCAGCTCCTTCTCCTGCCTCCAGCCTAGGAGCTGTGTCCGAGGTGACAGCAGCTGGAGTCATAGGGACAGGGACACACAACACTGGGATCAGCCACGGGATCATCCCCACCCAGGTGAGATCCGAGTCAGGGGTGTGTCCAGCATGGACATTGGCACCTCCAAGGTTCCAGGGGAGATGTTCCAGCACCTGCTCTGGGGGTTGTAACTGGACACTCATGGAATTCCACCACTCCTGGCTCAGATCCTGCATGGACATTCCATTGATGGGGTTGGAGAAGGAATGGCTGCTCTGTCCCTGGGAGTGTTCCAGGCCAGGTTGGATGGGGCTTGGAGCAGCCTGGGCTGGTGGAAGGTGTCCCTGGGTGGGACTGGATGAACTTTAATGTCCTTTCCAATCCATGATTCCATGAATTCTTCACTGCACTAGATGTGACTCCAAAAGCCCCAAGCCAAGCTCCATTGCTTTTATCCCTCCTGGAGTGACTCCACATCTCCATCCCACCACAAGCCTCATTGATTCCCAAATTAATTCCCAAATTTCTCCAATCTCAATGTTTCCTGGTTTTCCCTCTCATCCCTGGAATTAGCCAGAGCTCAAGGAATATTTGGACCCTCACATGGAAGGATTCTTGGAATGTGCTGTGCAGGGCAGAGGGTTGGATAATGATCCCTGTGGATCGCTTCCAGCTCAGGATATTCCATGACTCTCTGATCCCTCTGGACACACCTAAGTCCAATGTCCTTTCCAACCCAACCCCACATGGTCCGTGAATCACTTTGGGCTGTTTTCCTCTTCATTTGATGGTTCTCCTGATGGGTCCCTACAGGAGAAGATCCTTTCATGCCACCATGCCATGGAATGGGATTCTCCCTAATTTTTGGGGGTGGATTCATGTTCTGGAGATGGTGATGGGACACACCATGGATGGTGGCTGAAGCTTTGATCCTCTCTGGCCAGGTCGTAGCCCTCTCCTTGCTGGTGGCCTCAGGGGAGATCCTGGAATGCTCCGAGTCCATCCATGAGGAGATCTTCCAGGCTTCCCGACTGCACCTGGGCTGCCTGGGAGTGGTGCTCACTGTCACCTTCCAGTGTGTGCCACAGTTCCACCTGCACGAGGTGACCTTCCCCTCCACCCTCACCGAGGTATGGCCTGGAGGGGACACTTCTGAGGAGAACAAGAGAACCTCCTTGGGAGGTGATGTGGTGGGAAAGGGAAAATCCAGCATCTCGTGCTTCTGATCCATCAGGATCTTCTGGAGTGGAGACTTCATCCATGGAGGGTCTTCAAAGCCATGTGGTTGTGGCACTTGGGGCTTGTGGTGGCCTTGGCAGTTCTGGAGCAGTGGTTGGACTCATGGTCTCAAAGGTCCAAAGGGATTCAGGCCAAACACTGAGCTTCAGTGAGACCTCAGAGCCTCTTCCAGTGCCTCAAGGGGCTCCAAGAGAGCTGCAGAGGGACTTGGGACAAGGGCCTGGAGGGACAGGACACAGGGAATGGCTTCCCACTGCCAGAGGGCAGGGAGAGATGGGATACTGGGAAGGAATTCTTGGCTGTGAGGGTGGTGAGGATCTGGGGTGGAATTCCCAGAGCAGCTGTGGCTGCTCCATCCCTGGGAGTGTTTACGGCCAGGTTGGATGGGGCTTGGAGCAGCCTGAGCTGGTGGGAGGTGTCTCTGGATGAGCTTTGAGTTCTCTTCCCACCCAACCCAGCCACTGCCTCCCTCATTCCAAAGTGTCACTCCTGCTCCTTCCCCCAACAGGAGCAGCCGAGCGGCTCCGAGGTGAGAGAGCCGTTTCGTAACTCTGCTCCCTGACTCCGGTGCCACATCCATTATTTGCAGCCTCTTAGATAACTCAGCCTTGAATATTGCAGCAATCTGCTCCCTGGCCATTATTCCCTTCCGCCTCACTGGCCTCTCCACATGAAAGTCTGGAGCTGGGAGCAGCCAGAGATGAGCAGGGATTGATAATGGGATTAGTATTTATAGAGTGGCCTCATGTTTCACCCTCCAGAGGGCTCCAAGGGAGGAGGAGGAGGGATGGGGTGAGCTGTGCCTGGGGAAGCTCAGCCTGGGATACCTGCACAGAACACAGAGGGACCCTGGGATTGAGGTTTCCAGGGGAAAAGGTGGATTAGAGGGGTGAAATAATGAGATTGGGTGAGGAAAGGTGTTAAGGGAGGCAGGGAAGGAGGGAAGGGTTGCAAGGATAGTGCTAGAGGAGGCAGGGAAGGGCTAGAGAAGGCAGGAAAGGTGTTAGGATGCAGGGAAGGTGGTGGAGGATGGAGGGAAGGAGGTAAGGGATTTAGGGATGGTGCTAGAGGATCCAGGGATGGTGCCAGAGGATCCAGGGATGGTGCCAGAGGATGCAGGAAAGGTTAGGATGCAGGGAAGGTGGTAAAGGATTCAGGGATGGTGCTAGAGGATGCAGGGAAGGTGTTAGAGGATGATGCTGAGAGATGGTGCTAGAGGTTGTAGAGAAGGATGTAAGGGATATGGGGATGGTGCTAGGGGATGTAAGGAAGGGCTAGAGGATGCAGGGAAGGTGGTAAGGGATGCAGGGAAGGAGGTAGAGGATCTGGGCCAGGTTGGATGGGGCTTGGAGCAACCTGGGCTGGTGGAAGGTGTCCCTGCCCATGGCAGAGGGTGGAATGGGATGAGCTTTAAGGTTTCCTCCCATCCAAACCAGTCTGGGACTCAGTGATCAGTGGGATCAGCTCTCTCCATCCGACCTCCCAGCACAGGAAGAGCTCCAAGGAAAAGTCTTCAGGAGTTAAAAGAAGTTTATATAACAGCAAACACAGAGGAAATCAGTTTTGATGTGTTCCCAGAAGGAAGAATTCCTTCAAATCTCCCTCCAGCAATGCCTTCTGGGCCTCCCAGAGGCTTCCTGAGGGATCCAGCTCACACCCACCACCAGCCACAGAGTCCGAGCTGCTACATCCCAGGGGATGCACCACCCCCACAAAGGGCATTCCATGCCTCTTCCAAGGAAAATCAGCCTGTCCCAGCCTGGTCCTGCTGGGAATGGAGAGCTCAGGCTGCAGGGCTGAGCATCTCTGTGCAGCATCCCAGAACACCTTCCTGGTGTCTCAGCTGCATCCTCATCACAGAACTCACTTCTCCTGCTCTCCATAGGATCCCAGGCTGGTTTGGATGGGAAAGGACCTTAAAGCTCATCCCATTCCACCCCCTGCCATGGGCAGGGACACCTTCCACTAGACCAAGTTGCTCCAAGAGGGTTAGATGGGATACTCGGAAGGAATTCCTGGCTGTGAGTGTGGTGAGGCACTGACACAGGTTGCCCAGAGCAGCTGTGGCTGCTCCATCCCTGGGAGTGTTCCAGGCCAGGTTGGATGGGGCTTGGAGCAACCTGGGCTGGTGGGAGGTGTCCCTGCCCATGGAACTGGATGAGCTTTAAGGTCATTCCAACCCAAGCCATTCCCTGATGTGAAGATTCCCTGATTCCCAGTGCTGACCTCTGCCTCCTGCTGTGGCTCTCAGCCAGCAGACTCTGTCCTCAAGGACTCCTGGTGTCTCTCCCTCCCTTTCTGCCGGGCTGTAATTATGCTACAAAGGCTGAGGCTTATTTTCTTGCTGACTGATATCCCTGGA